CTATTAGCCTCATTTATGAGACTGCACAGAGAACTGTGAAATCTCTTTTGAACTCTAAGGGCCAGATGGTTTTGCTGTTAGATTCTAATGACCCACAGCAGTGTGCATACACAGACACTACGGTTGCCAGTAGACTGCAAACATGTGATGGAGCCAGGAGAATTCATGACCTGTGCTTCCAAAACACAAGTCTCCTCACTACTGATGGGATAAAAAAACATTCTGCTGCTGCCTCAAAAGGGGGATTATTACTAAATCAAGCCATGAGCATACCTGGACCTGAGGAGTGAATGGCAGGCACATCACCCCATGCAATTTCAGGAAGACTTCTGCTGAGGATCAGGAAGCTGCAAGTGGCTTTTGCTGGAAGGTGAGGGTTTCCTGGCAGGCTGTGTGGGCCCTGGTCCCAGCACTGTATCATTCTGTGCTGGAAGAGGGAGGGAAAGGCTGGACTCAAACCAATTAAAGCTGTGGGGCAGAATGGTAGTTACTCTGCTGTCATATGGAACTGCTTGTAAGACATGATTTATTTTGGATTATATTGGTTTCAACTGGTATAATATGAACTTCCTGATTTTTCAGGGGTATGTAGACAAAAAGACTAAACATGGTTTTACTCATCTTTTAATTTAGAACTACAAGTGTTTGGATGACCTATGAAATGATTTTAATGATCTCTGCACAACACTGAGCTGTCAGCACTATAAATGTCATCCTAACTGGGTATTAGTTTCCATCATGGCCATTTAGTCTCCCCAGCAGAGCTACCTCCATGCAAATCTCTTATCTGCGTCAAGCTGTTGGAAAAAACCAGAGTCACTGTTGCCAAGAAGCATCAGTCAGACATCTTCATAATGCTCAGCTTGAAGAGGAAGACACGAACAGAAAATCCAAGAGCACCATGTGTGCGCAGCTTCTTACCCTTGGAGCTTCAGGCATAGCAGTCGGGGGATGATTTGCATTCAAACCAATGCTTTTATTTCTGATCATTAAAAATGTGTTCCAGCATTGCTCACACCAGTTGATATAGATTTACCCTTAACTTACCATTTTCCTCCCTTAGCTTTAGAACACTAGGAAATGTCACAGGGTAAGAAGGATTTCTGTGAGTGAGAAGTGTGACTAATTGAATTTGATACAACTTTAGACTGCTGGTACAAGATGAATATGAACTCATCACATGAGGCTGCTCTTTTGTTCTCATATAGAAAGCAAAGAAATTGTTTGACCAGTATGAGCTGTAAGGATATGTGTATGATATTGACATAAAGTAACAGAATTTGAAAATAAAAAAACAAAATGAGGCGTGTGTGTCAAAGGGGGAGTAGAAGAAGTGTAGAAGATAAACAGTTGGGCTTTTAGCACTCAAAACTTACAGCAGAAATAAAACCATCAAAATTTTGTGTATTCTCCTTCTTAGGCATTTTGTGGGATTTTTCCTGTTCAAAGTTAGGAATATTATCCTCAAGTTTTAAATTATTATCTTTTGCCTTAGCTCACATACTTAATATTTTAAGCATGGCAAAAGAAATACTGATGCATTTTAGATTTGTTCTTTGATAGACGTTTAAATGATCTGGTCATAGGATTTTTCCAACACTGTCGCTTGTTCTTCCTGTATCATACATTATTTACAAAAGTCACCTAGTGTTGACTTGTACTTGGGTATGATATAAAAAACCCTGAAGTTTGCTTTCAAGTGTATGGAACATCAGCTGATCTACATGCAGTGTACAATAGCTGTTTTTCAAACTTAGGATATAAAAAACATGACAGCACTGTGTTGCACAAATCTCCTCTTAAGATGGCTAACACAAGTGAGAGAACCTCTGACAGAGTAGAAGTTCTACTTTTCTTACCATCTTACTTCTACTTACCATCTTACTCTGCAGACTCCTAGCAGGGAAAATATGTAATAGTTCAGAGCTCTTGTTTCTTGCTTACAGCTTTATTTTGCTCCAGAGCACCTATTTAACATCTCTTGTCCATGGCTATCTTATAGTTCCAGTCTTCTCCATAACCAAGGCAGATTGTCTTTCTTTCCAGTTAATTGAACATGCAGATGCAGCACTTGTGAATCAGAGGTGTCACTTTCAAAGCCCTGAAAAGATCTTTTAACTCAGTAAACACAAGGTTTAGCAAGTTGAAGCATTAGTATCTGCAGTGTGTCAAAATGGTTCCGAAGGCATCACATCCACAGCAGTTAAAGAGATTAAAGGGGTGCTTGGGAAATTTCTTGTTATTCCTGAATACCTCAGTTCTTCTGCTCAGGGTGACCTAAGTGAGCAGGCACTAGTTCTCACAGGACTGGACCTTACTGGATTTATATGTCCAGCCACCTTTCCCACTCAGCCAGGCTGAAGCAGGAAAAGCAATTCCTTTGAAAACTGGCACTTGCAGCGATTCAGCTGCCACAAGCCGGAGCCCTCGATGTGACATGAGTGGGCGCAGCTCCCAGCGTGTCAGTGGTGTGTGCCACTAATACTGGCTCAGGGACTGAGCCCTGCTTCTGGACTTGCATAGCTAAACTTCTTCCATTTAAGGGAGCAAGCATAACATGTGCTGGTCTCCAGATCCCAAGTCCAGTGGAAACCTAGCCGGCAGTAAGCAAGCACTGCCAAGGAGCTCTCGACATGAAGCACTACTATAGCAAAGGTCTTGAATGACTAAAATTCTTGAAAGCCTTGGTCAGTATCACAGACAGTTTCCAACTGGGCAAAGTACAATATTTTCCTTCTGCTTTTTATGAATGGCTGGATAGGGTTGTGCTGGAGTCAGAGTCCCCTGTGGAAGCCATTCATAAAAATAACAAAACAAAACAAATGCATGCAAAAAAACTTTCAAGGTCCAGTCCAAAGACACTGGGTGCCAGAGGCTGGGAAAACATGCTGGCAGCTCAAGCCCCAGCTATCACTGAAAGTATTCAAGGGGCTTTTTGGTGGTCTGAAAAGTATGAACTGCTGTGTAGAAGGGCAGCTGGTAGAATTACTGTGACACATACTAGGCAGAAAGCCAGAGCTGGCCTTGTTTCAGACATTGTCTTTCCTCTCATTGAAGTGTCAGGACCTAATTCATGGAAAATATGGTAAGTTGGCAGCTCTTTCAGAAGATTTCATTGAGCTACAGTGAGTGAGAGTCACATGAACATAGAGTGCACAGCCAAAAATATATGGGGATTTCTGAGCTGAAGAAAACAGTCAGCCTCTAAAAATGTTCTGTGGATTTCATGTGGTTTGGGAGTAGACACATGTACAGGTGTAATCAACAGGCAAAAAAAGAAAAGAAAAGAAAGTGAAAAAACACTATTGGCAGATTACAGAACAGCTCAGTGAGTTCCGTAATTATGAGAGATTCCTTTAAAACAAATCATTCCTTTGTCCAAGGGCAGCAAATGTCCATTAATGAGTTCAGGGCCTGCAGTCCACCTGGAGAAGGCATCAATAAAATGTGTGCCTTGATAATAGCTTCTCCATTGCAAGGGAATTTAATGGAAAAGGAAAGAGTCCACCCAGAAGTTTAAAGACAGACCCAGTCATCACATAGTTTTTTTCCTCTCATATTTATTTGAGAGCACAACTTGGAGCCTGTTATATAAAAAAATACAAGAGCAGATTCCACTGAGTTAGAAAAAGACTGAAAATAAACAAAGCATCTCTTGTTATAATGGGACACTTGTGGTGGGCAGTCTGAATTTAATCAGTTACATTTAATTTACATTTTCATTGATCCTTCCCACTAAAATATTGCTCTGAAAGGCCAGTTACACTAAATTGCTTATTCAAAAATATTCCAGTGATTTCCTACTACACTGTCATGAAAATTAGGTTTTTGGCTGTGCAGAGGGATGCCTGTTGGCTTCTGCCCAAGCAAGGCACTAAAATCATGGCTGGGATTAGGATGAAGCAGGAAGGAAGGGCAGCAAGAAAATCACTGGGTGTGATTCATATACTTTAAAAACAGAATGTCTGGGGGAGGGGGGCAGGCAGCAACTTTGTCCCACTGAAGCAAGAAAAGCCTTTTTGTCCTTTCTGTGTCAGAATTTCATCCTTTATCTGTGGTCTTATTGTTCTGTGTTGCCGCTAGCACCCACAAAGGTCATCCCACCATCTGGGCAATGCTGGTGTATTTTAAGCATGTCTATATTTGTTCCTTAATTGGTACTCCTCCCAGGTGGGGATGAAGCACACCAGCACTTTGGTAGGTCTCCTGACTCATGTGAGGACTGTGTTTTCCAGTCCTGGGTGGAACCAGCCAGGAGAGACTTGCTGAGAATCCATGGTAGTACTACCAGGTCCTGCATAGGCAGGTGGACACACCCAACCTGGCCAAGGATGGGCATCCCCATGCCAAGGATGGGCATCCCCATGATTCACACCAATAGGCTTGCAAGGGTCAGCACAGCATCACCTGCAGCTGAAGGTCTCAAACCACAACTTCCAAGGGCTGGAAACACTGGCCATCCCAGTCTCCTTGATTTTGGCAAGGGTGGCTTTGGTCAAGTGGGAATCTGTGGCTTAGGAATGGGATTATGTATCCTTCACCTCTCTGCCTGAGCTTTGACCTACCTATGATGAGTGGGGAGATCTTCCCCACAGCAGGACACTCCACTCACAGAGACATGAGAGTGCTGTAACAGGGCAGCAGCAGAGACAACAAAATCTAGTTACAAAATCAAGTCACTCTCATGGTCTGATAAGGCAGCAGTACCATAGAAGAGCTGAGAGATGTAACATGCTAAATTAGATTTCACCTCGGTTTTAACTGTAAAAACTTAACATACTCCTCTTCATCCACAGTAATATGAATTGCTTCAGAGCAAACTAGTAGATAGGAGAGTCTGGGTGTGAGAGCTGATTATGTTCATCTTTCCATTTCTGACTGTGGGCTTTTCCTGTGTTATATCTCTATTGCTGAAAATATTTTTCCTAGCACTCTTAAAGTCACAATTAAGTGCTCTCACTTAATTTTGTTTCTGACCATGCCTTTGTTTTGCTTTTCAGCCTCAACAAGTGGTTCAAAAGAAGCCTGCTCAGGTAAGAAAAACTAATTAAAATTATTTTGACTACTTCAAGTGAAACATTTTTTTAGTATTTCAACTGGCCTCTTTTACTGTAAAGAAAGAAGGGAAATGCATCAATTGTATGAGCTGGGGGACAGCTATTGGCTTGCTGGGCACAACCACCAGAACATGCAGTGGCCCTTGGGAAAGAGAGGAGGAAGCAGTGGACAGTGCCTGCTCAGAATTGTCCTCTTTCTGCATTGGTCACCTTGCAGTGATAATGCAGAAACACATGCACACTTCTGTGGTGTGAATCCAGCATGAAATAAATACCTCTGTGTGTCCTGAATGTGGATAGGTGGGAACTGCATTGCAGCAAAGAGGGGCATATGCATAAAACCCACCTCTCTGCTTTCCTAAAATAGAGGTAAAGCCTTTTAAAATAAGGGCCTTGTTACCCTTGTTAAATCATGGCTCAGGTCTACTACTCAGGCTAAGTAGAAGGGAACTATGGGAGAGTGACTCAACTGGAATAGGGGTAGAGAGACATGAGAGATGTGCTGCGTGACTGCTGCATGCCCACATCACAGTGTGTGGTGGTTGGTTGACTTGGGCCTATTGTGCCTTAAAACTCTGTAAAGTGATAAACTGCTTAAAAAGGCCTGAATTTTGCCAAGAAGCTCTCCTTTGCACTGCCTGGGGACTCTGCATCGCTCTGCATCATCACACTGAAGGATTCTCTAAATCCACAAAATTCAATAGGCTGAATGTAGTAACTAGACTGGATCCATCATAAAGACTAACGTGTTGGAACTTTTTGTGTTGTATTATTATTTTTGAACACATTGAAAAAAATGCAAGCCACAAGGTGTCATGAAACCAGTCAAACACTGCAGTTACAGTCCACTTCATTTTCTTCACCCAGCCTGCCCTGAGTTAAAAACCCCAAGAAACTAACTCTAACATTTAGTTATATGTGCACCAACAGAAAAAAACTCTGGGCATGAGAGCAAGTCCATCATTGCCCAGCAGAGACCATGGGCTGTGCTGCTGTACCTCCATACAGATGAATGATTGCTGAGTCAGGAGCATAAAGGGTCCATTGCTCTTCTGGAAAGAGGTCTGCTTTTAGAAAGGAATAATACCTTCATTTTTCCACCTTATGGTTCTAATACATTATTATACACTGTACAATTGTCATAATATCAACTGCAATCTGAATTAGGAGCTGTTTCATATGAAACATGAATTGAACTAGCCATGAGTTGAAGGGGTAAAATGATGTAACCCTCCAAAGCATTTGCAGGAATCAGATCTCTACAAAATAAATCAATACAGTTGCAGCAATGATGAATCCATGGCACAGCTAATAATATTAATGTCTCTGAATGATGGAGGTAACACACAGGATGAATCTGGTAGTACTTTAGGAGAGATAATGTCTTTTGTTAGGCTAGCTTGTGCAAAAAACACAGCCTGATCTGACTACACCACACAATTCAGAACACACCAAGCTGTTCTAATAGAAGATATTTCCATGTCTTGCTTATATCCTTCAAATGTCACTGCTACAATCAGGTTATTCCTACTACAACATGGTAGTAAATCTGCCAGTGGGCACAAAGCCAGCTCTCTCCTCTGTGGCACCCGAGAGACAGGGAGGCTAAACTCTGCTGCAGAGAGGAGACCAAATCCAGGAGGCAGAGACTCCTGGGAGGCTCTTAATGTTGCCTTTTCCTCTGGTACGCAGCACAGCTCAATCCCACCGAGGTGAGCAGGAAGAAGGGGTCTAGAGCTGATGGCTCCAGCCTAGCCTAGCAGAAACCATTGCTGCCAATGGCCTTGTGGTCCTGCCAGGTTTCCAAGCTCCCCAGGCACTCACTCCTGCAAGTGTTTTGTTTGCACAATAATCATGTGCAACCCTGGGTGCAAGAGAAGAGGAAATACCTGGGATTGAAGATGGGCTGGGGTGTAGGAGGACAAGAGGGGACCTGGACTCTGTTTTGTAGCAGAACAAAGTACTGACAGATTTAATTGATGGCAAAATGATGTAGGCATTTGAACTGAAGCACTAGCATTCCCCATATGGATTTTCCTGACCATTTGCTGAAGCAGTGATTCTGGTAGGGATGTTGTAGTGTGTGTCAACCAGCTGGATGCCACCACTGCTGCAGTGGTGCCTCAGCAGCATCTCTGTAGGCAGAGACAGAGAGAGAGTGAGACAGAGATAAGAAAACCCTTTGACATTCCTATTAGTAATGGAAGTGTTTGTGCAGAAAGGGAGGAGGCACAGAACAATACATGAAAAGAGAGAGAAGGCTGTTTAGATCTCTCCAGTTACCACAACTGACTAGTGAAAGAACACCTTAAATTATCTATATGCCATGTCTTTACACAGACAACATTTCTGTTTTTAATCCTTAGACAAAAGGATGTTCAGTGAAATCACTGAACTTACCTTCAACCCTTCCTGGTTTCAACAGGCCCCACCCTCATGCTTATAGTACCACACCATTGCAGTTTTGTTGTTATAGGTGCATGGCTAGGAACAAAAATTTATCACTGTGAGCAAATGCTCATGACGGTGTCTTCCTGAGGCTGAAAGAAGGAAAGGTAAAACAACGTATTTCCTGGGATGATCAAGAACTTCATGTTGCTGGGTTTCACTCAGGTCTGGTTACCTCTCTCTGATTTCTTTTTATAGTACCTAATTTGCCTTTAAAATAGGGAGGTTCAGACTCAGAATTAACAACAAGAACATGAGCACATGCAGGCTTTCTAATCTGAGCTGTTTTAAGGAAATAGCGATAAATTATGTAAACATGGGGACTACATGGAAGTTCATGGAGGATAATGTAAAACTTATACTACATTCAGAGTAATCTCTTCCTTTTCCATCTGTTTCCTTCAAAATATCCTCTCAGGTGGCTTTACTGTGTAGCAGTCTGGATTAAGTTAGAAATGTATACTTTCTTCATTGGTGGGGGCTGTAAGAGGTTACAATCAAGAACTGCCGGTTGATGGTGAGCCTGCCTTGGTAAAAGTGGCAAAAACTCTTGCTCAGGCTTGGTCCCTGAGTGGTCTCCTGTGCTTTGAATTTTATGTGTATTCTTAAAGATTTCTGTGAGTGTTGGTTTACATCACTCCTGTTCTTGCTGCTAGCAGATATGTCTCTTGGGTTTGTGTCACTTTTAAAAGTACAGAAGCAGTAGGACCAGATAAAATTCTCATTTTGCAAATAACAGCTCTGTTCCTATCACCATTTCCCAGATTTTAAGCATTGTGCAGGGCTCTGCCGTGCTCTAAATCTCTTCATGGATGTCAGCTGTGCAGTTTAGGGCCATATAGATGTTTATGTAAACTTCTGCAATATCTTTAAACTTTGACAGAGCTCTGATGATTTACCATCACACAGACAGTAAATAGCAGCAGTAAAACCCACTGAAAATCTACACACCCATATTATTAATACAAGTCTTTGAGTGCAGTGGTCTGTTCACATCTTTGTGATGATCACTGGTGCATACTCTCACACTTCCTTGGGGAAATGAAGAAAAGAGCCAACGTAACTGTGTGACATTGGTAAGTTTAGCACTTTCACGTAAGATATTTGCCTAAACCTCAAAATGAGACTCTTCGAAATCTGCTCTGTCTCTAAAGAATGTACAGCTGGAGCTTACAGTCATGACGTAATATTTTTACCGAGGTGTGCAAATACATAGTCCAAACAGAAATTTCTTCATTTGTTCATTTTTAAGCAATATGTAGCAGCTGTTGACTCAGCCATATGGGGGAGTTACACTCTTAAGTAATATGAAGGAAATAGATGTTTTTAGGAAAACACAATGAAAGCTATCAAAATTTTCTGGAAACAGGACATGTTTTATTTTCATCATTTCCACAGAAGACATATAATGAACATAGAACAGCCCTTTGAAAATCTTATCTCTCTTAAAATCTCAAATCCTTGAAATCTTTTTGTATCTGAGTCTGAAGGACAGCATACCAGTCAGAAAGATGGTGTGTAGATCAGAATAAAAGTGTATCAGTCAGAAGAGTGCACGTAAAGTATACATAGAAGAGTGTACAGAAAACATGCACTGAAGGAACAAGTGAAGCATACTTCTCTACCTAATTCTAAATGTAGTAGGTGTTTTTAACACAATGTCCAAAGAAATCAAATCCAACAAGAATAAACGCTAAAAAGTGTTATTTTGTATAGGAAAGAAGATCTGGATTTCCTATATTTTTTCCTGCTACTCATTTCTCAGTGATAATACCTTATCAAAGTGCACACACTTAAAATCTGATGTGACAAAAAGGAATCAGATTTAGCAAGATTTTTCTTCATGGCTTGTGAAGCACTGTCTAGGGGATTCAGTCTTGCCTACTGCATTGTGCCACTGGAAGATGTCATGTCCCTGTCAGCCAGTTTATGAGTCAATCAAAGAGCAGGAGTGCTGTGACTTAGTTCAACGTAGAAGGAGCCTTCATTTCTGAACAAGAACAGCAGTGGATTCTTGACAGCTCAAACACACAACATTTATTTCCCTGAGGGAAACTCTAGGACAGGAGATAGCTTTCTGAATGCAGCACTGGTCACACATTTTCCCATTCAATGCAGACATGCTTTCAGGTCCCTGCTCTTTTTCAGTGTGTTGGGCACGAGCTGACCCTAAAAGCAGGGATGTAAAACTTCAGGGACTACAGCTGTTGAGCCACTCCTTGCATAGCAGAGGGAGTAGGTGTTGCAGATGGTGGTAGAAGGCTAGAGGATGAAGGTGTGAGCTAAAAGATTTCCCTATGCCAGCAATGCTCCTCTTCAGCCTCTCACTACCTCTTCCCTCCCCACTCCTTGCTTGTGGAAGAAGCCCAAGGTGGGCAGGCAACATCTGTGGGCAGGGTGGCTTTGTGTTTGACCCCATGGCTGTGACCACAAAAGGTGTTTAGGGAGGTACTCCTTCCAATTCAGAGCTGGGCTCTGATTTGACACAAACTGAAGTCTCACTAATAATAGCCAGAAGAGAAGGGGTT